TATTTTTTGAGTTATATTAAAACATTAAAATATTATCTAAATAATCTATTTTAAAATATAAATAATTTAAAGTTATTAGGAGTTGTTACAATAAATGGAAATATTTTTTCATCAATTTTTTATTGAAACTTTAAGATTACAAAGAAAATACTTAAAACTGATCTGTAGTATTTTCTACAATAGGCACAGTAGGCTCTTGCCCATGCACCATCCACAACAGCAGCAGGTGCATGGCTTGGGAATAGAAATTTTCTCACCTATGCATCCTTCCTTTACTCAAAACTTGCTCTCAATCTTATTGTTAGGTGCAGTCAGCATTTACAACAAATTGTGATTTAACTATCAAAAATTTTAATATACAACACAAATAAAATTAATACAATTTTTTATTGTGTTATAATTTATTTTCACAGTGCTGTCACAGGCATTACGTAATTATTTAGGAGGCGTTCAAGCTAGCTTTATGAATGAGTTACAAGGGGTAGAGGGAGTATTCAAAATACTCCAAATTTGCGTTACGTAATTTATGGATGGCCCATAACTATATTCCTCACACTGAAATCAAGAAAACAAGAACACTGGCCTCAAGCACAGATAGTGAAGCTACTGTATGGTTCATGAGAAAAAGAAGAGACTATCAACACATTTGTTCAAAGATTCGGGGAAACTGGAAGAGTAACCTGATTGAGATGGGAGTCAATGACCCAGATTTGTTATTTACTTTTGAGCCAAAAGGTATAAACTTAATGTGTGAATTTATATAAAATAAATTCGCATAATATGCTAATGTAAATTTTCTACTGAGCAATTATCATTACATACTTCATTTAGAATATTATTGATTTTCAAAGAAAAGTAGGTATTAATTTATGTAAGTTGCAGCAGAAATATTATTTTTATAATCAAATAACAAACTACCTTCCCTGCTATAAAAGAGATTTCCCTTTAATGTTGTTAAAAAACAAAATTAAAAAAACAATATGAAAATCAAGGTTATTTAAAAACAAATCATTTCACAATTGAACACTCCCATTTCTGAATATGAATATTTGCAGAAGCTCTTGCACCATACATACAAGATATTTTTAATTCACAGTTAGTAATAGGCTTAGTTTAACTAAAGAAAATATCTTTAAATCTTAACTTAAGTTTCAAGTATATAATTTTTGAATCAGAAAAATATTTTTTTGTTAAAATAATAAAAACTGCACTAGTATACCTCATATACTTTCTCAATATTCTACTGTAACACCCCTCCAGTATTCATAAGCAAACTATTAATTAGAATTAATAAACAACATATTAATTACAAACTTAATTCTTAAACTTCATCCAATAGAAATAAAATTGGTGGTGCTACAAGAGAACATACTTTCTCATGTTATTTGTAACACCACTGCAAAACTCAGGTACATCCAGGGAACTTGCAGTGCGCTTTACTGCTTCACCGGGTTGCCGCTTTCACTTGGACAGACACTTCAAATTCTGATTGTCTCTCATTATTTCTAACACACAATTTTCGAAAATTCAGAGAGTTTAACGGAAATGACATGTGCATCAGGCTTTTAAGCATACCCTGTTTTAACTGAGGGAAAGTTTAAAAAAATTTTGAGCGTTTTTTGGGAAAATTAGATTTTGATAATTTGCATTAATTTCGAGCGGAAATTACACTTAACTCGTTTTTCAAAAAATTGTACAAGAGCTTTTTTAAAGAGCTAACTTTTGGGAATAGATTTTGTTGAAGAGATATATCTGTCTTCAATTTTGTAGTTTTGAAATTTTAACATTTTGCAATGTTCAAAAATACGGAGTTCGCCGGAAAGGAGTCTAGCATCACTTTTTTGCCGTCCTTTGATATATACGAGGATATATACGAAGACACAATTTAAAGAAAACATTGGAGCAGTTTTTAAGAAAATAATTGTTTCAGAATTGCCTATATTCCATGCAAGATTACGCGACAATTGCTTTTTTTAAAAAAAATTGTATTTGACCTTATTTCAAGATCTCAATAGATTTCACTCCAGAAAAAATCTTTATCTTCAATCTTTATCTAATTGTAGGAAGTCGCTGAAAAGAATTTAAACTTAAGCATTTCTTTTCTTCGAAAATCAGGGATTTCAATGATCGTGAGACCAATAGCATCAAAACATTTGGAGCGAATGTTGAGAAAATATTGTTGAAACTTCATGTACAGTACCCCAAAAATTGAAATACCTGTTTTAAACTCATGAGACCACGGGTTCCTTTAAATTGGTAGAGGTTTTTTAGTTTTGGAGAAAATCGGCTGAACTGTTTAGGTTGTAGCACTGACAACAGATAAACACGTTTTGCCATCAATCGATTTTTCGTTATCAAGGTCTCACAAAATGTGAAATCTGACTACATACCGTGTAAGAAGAACGTATGTAACGTACTAGAGGAAGAAATAATATAAAATTACCATTAGATATACAATAATAGCTATTAACATTCCTAGAAATGTTATTGAGTGTTATTACTGCCTCGTTGGCATCGGCAGTAATAACACTAACATTTCGTGGTAAGTTCAGCGTTTTACCGGTCACTTTTTTTTTTTTTTTTTTTTTTTTTTTTTTTTTTTTTTTTTTTTTTTTTTGAAAATTAACATTACTGCGATATGCAATGCATGTATTCTGTTTTTGCGGCATGATAATCGATATTGTTGGGTATTGCTTCCAGGGGCGACACCACATCGTCAGTAAATATTACTGAAGAAGAAATCCAGTTTGCAACGAAAATAATGCTAATTTACCAAATATTTATTTTTCAAACTGCATAATAACATTATAATTAATAATGAGCATTCCCAAAAATAATGCGTTTCTTTGATTACTATTTGTCTAGTAAATTACCACGTGATTTTTTCGTAATGTTAACTTGCGATGAATGGATGGTTGTTTATTTAGGTTACTAAGGATGTTAAAACTCGATGCTAAAGATTTTAAATTTCCTAACCTACAGGTTAAGAAATGTACTTAACAAGTGCATTTAACAAACCTGTAGGGTGGCATGTTACCAAGTGTTAAAGACTCATGTGACCGATAAAGATATTAACAGACGGAAAATATTGTGAGAGCTAAGTAACACTAAGTAACGTAACATATAAAGAAATAGTAATTTATTACAGACGATAAATATTTACTTTATCTACGAGTGAAGGGTGTTTTCTCACGAGCAACAATAGAAGCGAGCCAGACATATTTTCGCCTAGACAAAGTATATTATAGGGTTGTAAATTGAATTTATTTTATTCCAATTAACCAGATCTCAAGGGGCCATGCGTAGAACCATGCACTGTTTTTTCGAGAAGGTGCATGGTCAATGCACTTATGCAATGTAGATTATCGCGCGTAAATTGTACATCGTGTTTTATTAGCTTAGTACTAAAATAGTTTATATAAAATGTTTAAAAATCCCGTCTATCAATTACTTCCTTTTCGCCACATAATGAATGGCGACTTGTGTTAGGTTGCGCAACTTCCATGTAAAAGAAATATATATTTTCATTGTCATCCAATAATCGAGATATTGCAGCAATACCGATTTACGTAATCATTTTTAAATAAAAGAGCATCCGTCTTTTTATAGATAACAATGGTACTTTTAGAATTTTTTAAACGGTCGATTTTGGAAAGAAATTAAAAATAAAAATAAAATAGGTAAAAATTATTTTAAAACAAATTAATGAATTAAATATATACATAAAATGAAAGTGCATCTTTTGTACTTTAATGTCGCAAAATATTACATTTCTGACCCAATTAAAACGCGAGTTAAAAATTATTAACTTTCGCGACGCAAGAATTTGTTCGAAACTTTTGTAAATTAATATACTCTCAAAAATTTTTTTTGGAAAAAATGAAAAATTCACGATTCATATTTTTGGTCGTACTCTTCTCAGAAAACAAGTTTTAAAATCGGGGACATCACTGACAAATTTTCCTTAAATTTCTGCAATTTGACATGGAACGACCCTATTATATTATTTGGAATATCTTAGGATACCACGCTTATATTCATTTACATACATGTACGTAGATAAAAATAAATATCTTATTCACTACATAGACGTAAAAACGATATAGAAACCTAATTTGTTTTTCATTTATATTCTTTTATTGGAATTATCTACGCTCTGATACATAAATGACTCTTCAGCTGGCTTGCAACAAACATTGATTTGATATGTATTTCAGGTATCATCATCAGGTATCAATGCATTTTTAGGATTGCGAATTAGCTTGGAGAGCATCTTTTCCGGATATACAACAATTCCCCAAATTGTCAAGTGAAAGAAGAGAAAAACTCAGAGAATAGACATATTTAGGGAAGTAAAATGTTCACTTACATAAGATTATGGGACATCAAAAATTTCGAGGAGGAACACAACTCCTCTGCCCCCTCCCTCACTGTGCGCACGCCTATGCTCTTCAGTGTTTCACATTTTTAAATACCGGTAGATTATATCTATTATTTGTCGATTTCAAGTGTAATCGAAACATCTGTGTTTCGAATTACCAGGTGCACGTAGAAAATACAAGCAGCTTGGAGCTGTAGATCGTGGGCATCTTCTTTTAAACAAAAGTTCCGCCTTCATAAACCTACATAAACTGAATTCATTTCTCCATGCAAGAGAAACAACTTACAGCGGTTAATCACAATTAGAAGTAACTATTATTTTATTCGCGTTAAAAAAATCGGGATTAATTTGGAACCTGGAGCTGGTTGCTCCAGCTGCCACCCGCCGCCCACTGGACGCCACTGGATATTAAAACGAACATAAAGACTTTAAAAGACTATAAATAATACATTATGACCTAATACTTATTTGAATTTACATTTTTATGTTCTGCGTATTTTTTACCATCTGGACTCACCACACGGGTGAGTAGCCCAAAACTTTCTGAAACATCCCACATGGTGGGGCTAAATAAGCATCATCCTGAGTGTCTCGTCTCAAATTTCCCGCTTGATGCGGAGATTATTGTACATGCGTTCGACTTCGCCCTGTGCAAGCATGTCACCCGAGGGTCCGTAAGGAAATTTGCACGCATGTGTGCTCTTGTGGATGCTAACAATTGCATTACGAAAGGAACCGCCGTTCAACGTGCGATATCGATGTTTGGTTGTTCATTATCGATCACGAACAAGCGTCATGTCATGGACTTTCTGGGCGTGATCTTATGAGTTGATTAGGGCTAAGGCGAGTGTGACAAAGGCTTATGGGTTTTATAATTTCACCGGCAATAGTCATCTTTCCCGCTTCGTCGCCATGGAGAGGATTCTTCGAGGAATAATGAAGTATCGAATCACGGACCGCGTTACCATGGTTGAACAATTCAAACAAGTCCGCGACAACCCACAGGTACTAACACACAGCTATCATGTCATACACATGCTGTGCAGTGGGCGTTGAATTTGTAATACTTTAATTTTTTTAAAATTTTGTTAGTGACATTTTCATCTGCATACTCTAAATCCAAAAATTTATATAAATAATAAATATAAGTAATAACTTCTTTGAACAGAGCTATGTTTTGTTCTGTTTTTATGTGTATTTTTTCACCATTGTCTGTTACATTATTTCCATCAATTTATTGTAGTTTGTGATACCTCCAGGTTGTATATTGTGGATAGCATATCAGTAGTTCATGGGTTTTAATTTCTTTACAGTATCATAACCTAAAATTGAGATTCTAGTGATGTTGATTGACATTCATTTTTTTTAAATTGATTTAAAAATTGAAATAAATCAATTTAATTTTAATTTTGAAAATATGTGCATAGTTCTGTAAATTTTTGTGAAACCTTTTCTAGCCTAAAGCTGTATTCTTTACATGCATGGACAGTCGCATGATACCAACACGGTTCACAGAAATGTGTGTTGGAGACATGTTTGTGGGTAAGTTTGGGGTTGCAAGAAATGTATCAGAATATTAGTAATAGATTAATGCTTTTGAAATCTTGAAACTAATGCATACTTCTCCTCATACATAACATAAACTGTTTTATTACAAAATAAATCAAATCAATTTTCTCTTGGGAGAGTGGTTTTAATTATCACTAGAGACCAGATTTCTATGCAGTAAAAATGCCTAAAATATGCAATATAATGTGCTTGACAAATCTTTAAAATTAGCAATAATTATGCAATATAAAATTCAGAAGGAAATAAATGTTCATTACTATCCTGCAATGCAAATTACTTGTCGAAACATTTGAATTGTGCTATGACAGATTACCTATTTGAAACATAAAGAAAAGAATCATCATGTTTTGAAAATAATTTTATTTTTTACTTTCCATTTATTTACCATGCACTGGAATGCGAGCATTTATTCATGTTCTGATATTTGGGAATGCGAATGAGAGTTAAGAAGAAGTACAGCAATTTGTTGAACAAAGAACATTCTATATTGAAGTAAAAAGTTATTAAAATTTATCACAACATACATTTCTAAATTTATGTATGAAAAACTGGTTTGTCTGTGTGTTAAGATATTTTTATACTTTGAAATAATCTCTTCTCTTCCTCAGGTGTTATGGGACAATATTAGAATGCTGATATGATCTGTGGATCATTGTACATTTCTACAGTTGATCCTTCTCCCAATAGAACTTGATTATGTTTTCTCAATACATGAAGATCACTATATTTTGGCAAAATATCTATTAGTTGCCTTTTAGGGCTATCATCTGGTGTTACAGTAACGTTTTCAACTATTGGGTTTATATTTTATTTGAGTCCGAGACTCGGACCGTGATGACCCATGCCCCCTCACCCCAAATTCAATCTTACTTTCATTGTCTGTGTGGTACAAGCAAACTATATTATATTTACATTCCCTGGCAATGAGGCTAAAAGATGATTTCATGAACCACGATAACTATAAATCGTAATTCACCAATTTCAAAAAGTTTGATTTCAATAAATTATTATGATTTTCCCCCTTATTTTTCCAAACATTTATTTTGAAAATGCTGAAATATACAGTAACCAAATGTAGCAAAGTATGCACAATAAAATTCTTCAGAAATGCTCTTTATAAACAGATTCGTAAAGCTATGTGATCATTTCCCAAGAAAAAAAAAAAGCATACAAATCTGGGCTCTATCATTTTTTTCTGTTTTATTCACTTCGTCACATAAATCTTTAAGGAAGCAAAATGTCATTAAAGAAATAGGCAAAAGACCATTACAAGTATTAAAAATTCTTTGATATAAGACAATTATTGTCATTAAGTATTTAATTGTAGTTTTCAATAATTATGAATATTTGTAATAAATGTACTTTGCGTCTGTTTCAGTTAGAAATGCAGGAAATCTTGTTCCTCATTCTCAGAGTTTTGTGGATGAAGTCACTACTACTGAACCTGCAGCTCTTGAACTGGGTTGTATTGTCAATAACATACGACATGTAATTGTTTGCGGCCACTCTGATTGTAAAGTAAGTAATACCACATTATTATGAAAATGATATTTCTTTAATACTGCAGATATTAACTTATTTCAGTAGAATGAATAGTACTAATATTTATTGGGTCTAGGCAATGAATCTACTACATTCTCTTCGATGTGAAGAGTTTTCCTCTCAAAACAATCTGCGTTTGTCTCCTTTAAGAGGCTGGCTTATGAATCATGGTCACATGTCTCTTGCAAAGTATCAGCAGTTGGAACTCGAAGGTTTCTGTGCACCCTTGGTATTCCAAGCTGAAACACCAATGAGAAAATTTGTTGCTTACATAGATCCTGAAAATAGATTTTCCATTGAGGACAAACTTTCACAGGTAAGTGAGAACAACTCTTAAAGCAATGGTCTGTTGTGCCATATGAACACTCACCATACATTTTTTTAGGGATATTTGGACAGGCAATGTTTTTATCTGCCAAAACAAATTGGGAAATTCTCTTTAAAAAATAATTAAAGTATACAATTTTCCACATTTCTGTTTTTGAAATGTTGATTTGTACAGAACTGGCTTCTCTTATTTCTCACTGTTCTCTCCATTCTCTTTTTGTAATTTAGTACATGTATACTGTACATAAAACGTATCATTGCATAAATCTATTGACTAATACTTATTATTATTATTATTATTATTATTATTATTATTATTATTATTATTATTATTATTATTATTTTGCTTTTGCAGCTAAAATTTTCCTTATGAACAACACATGACCTTAGCCATTATGAAAAATGAAAGAAAGGAAGGGGAGATACGAATTCAAAGCAGATTTTTACATGAGGCCACAGTCTGATCCCTTGTTTGAATGTATTTTTAATGACAGTAGAGCCCACTATGCTTGAATGAAATTAAATTGAATTTAACTTGATATGTTTTTGCATTGAAATTGTTATTTCAATGCTCATTACATGTGTGAAATGATTAACTCAATTTCAAATCTTTTGTCTTGGACTATATTAATTCAATTTATATTTCACTTCCCAACTATCATTTTCTCCTTTAAGAGGCTTCTCCCTTAAGAGGCTCCTTTTCTGTGGAAGTTGCTCCACCTCTTGCATTGTCCTTCAGCATATACTGTCTGTCCATGCAGTTTTCTTCTTGACCTCTCATTTTATGACATGGAAGAGTGTCTTAAGTTTTTTGCAGTACTATGAAATCAATTCTGTACTTGTTTGCTAATGCATTTTTTTTGTTACATGGGAGCAAACATTTCTTCTCACCAAATGTTGACAACAAAGCTCTATTCATGTACCCAGCATGTTCCAGTTTTGGAAAAGAATGAGAGTTGAGATTGTGGAGCTCTAAAAACACATATGCACATATCACATCAAGGGTTTATTTTGAAAATCATTCTTTGGGTAATCTTATTGTTTGTTTTAACATTGGTTTCTTCAAGAATATTTATCTGCCTCTTCAAGTTTGTCTTGAATCTTTTCATTTTGTATTCTGTCTTCCGTTGTAAAGTTGTAAACAAATCTTAATAAATCTCATTTCAAATATCTGTATTCTACTTCAGCTGCTCTCTATAATTACACAAATTTCAGCACTTTGCAGTCTGCCATTACTCTATAAAATTACTCAAATTCTCTCTGCTTTTCTTTCTAAATTTTTTAAAGAATTTTTCAGAATAAGAATTGAAAATGGAAAACGTGAAATGGGCAGTAATGTTTATTTTCAGTAAAAGAAAATATTTTCATTTGAAGGTAGTCATCTCTATTTTGCTTTCATATTTAATTTATTTGAGATCATCTTTGCTCTTCTTTATCTCCTGCATATTTGTAAGGTAATTAAATACTATTTATGGGTAATAGAATTTTGTAGATTTATTTAATCTAATTAATTTAATTTAGGCTAAATTATGGTATCAAATTATTTTCAGAAAACTTGAAGGTAGATTGCATTCTTGTCTGACAGGTTGATTGTTTTTAATTTTGTCTGAAACTTGAGATTCAGAAGAGATATCATCTTTTGAAGTTTGATAGACTAATTTATGCATTGCTTCTGGAAAATTCTTCTTTCTGATACTTCCCCTAATACAGGCATTCTAACTTGATGAATTGCTTTTCTTTAATCAGTAATGGTTATACATTTCCTAGTTAAGAAAACTAAAAACTTGCTTAACCCTTAATTGAGAGATGTTAGTCATACACAGTGTTCTTTTAATTCCAATTGAGGTTGTCCATTCCTAGTTACCAAGGGATTCTCCTTGTTGGGGTGAGATGCTGTATGGATATGGAGCATCACTCCTACATCAGTGCCTACTACTTTGGTTACTTACACCCTTTTTCTCTTCATCTGCGTTAGACTGTTACCTCACCCCAACCACGCACCGCATTGAAAAACTATTTTTTGAACATGACTTTTCCCATTCCTTCCTGCTTGTATTTCCAATAATCACATATAAAAAATTCTAAATAAAATGAAAAAAGTATGGGTCTAATTAGGATATATAAAATGATGATTATTGTTTCTGTAACTTTGTGACTCATGTGAGTGATGCATCTGCTCAAGTTTAACTGTTCTGTTTAAAAAAAAAAAAAAGTGCTTTCTTTTTATTTAATTTTTTTCAGGTGAACTGTTTGCAACAACTGCAAAACATTGCCAGCTATGGGTTTCTAAAAAGAAAACTTGAAACTCATCAAGTGCATATTCATGCATTATGGTTTGATATTTACACAGGAGATATATTCTATTTTAGTCGTCAAAACAAACGCTTTGTAGAAATAAATGAAGATACAGTTGAGAAACTTTTAAGAGAAGTAAATCGTTACTACTCTTGAATGATTGAAGGTCAAAATGCTAAAATGATATCTGTCGAAAGGAAGTGAATTTTGGGATTCAAATAATGATTTTTGTAGACAATTAGAATCAGCCCAAATGTATTGACATAATTTTTGTTTGGGAGGGGAAAAAAGTCACAAATATACAAAAAGAGAAAGAAAAAAAGGTACATTTTTCAGACCTAAACTTCTGCATACTTTATTAATCTTTACAAATTTGTAGTGTATATAAAATAGCAGCAGTAGCTATTTTGAATATTGTGAACACACATGCACTGAGAAATTCTGAGATGGTCCACATAGTGTGTAAGGCCATCTAAGCTTCCTGTATCATTGTGTGTATGCATCCTAGCTTTTAAATGACTGTAAACTTGAAGTTGCTGCAGATGGCTGTGATTTTAATAACGTTTTTGTATACTTTTGTTATTACCATTCGATTTTTATATCATAAATTAATTGAGAGTCAACATTTTTGGGGTGATTATTTTTGGATTTGATATACATATTGTATTGGACCAAAAAAAACAAAAATGTAAATGGCATTTAACTAAGATATATTGTGGTTTTGTTATTTCATTTCCAGATCTATTGGTCTGTATGATATTGTGCATTAAACAGACAGACTACAGTAAACAGGTCCACACGTCCCACAAGTCCACTTAATAATGTTCACAAATCAGAATGTACAATAAGCAAGAATCTACAAATATGTTTTAATGTCTAGTTCTTTTTATTCATAATATATTGTCTTCATTAATAGTGACAATCATTACAAAGTAGTAATAGAAATAACAATTGCAGTAATGCAATATTCCAAATTGAACAAATTTAGCCACAAATCTTATTATAAATATAAAGAAGAAAAAGTAATGATTAACATCCCCTTAAAAACAAATGTCTAACAAGTCAATGGAACAATGGAGAAGTAATGAGGTACAAAGTTATAAGGACAACAACATGCAACAGAATCTACCTGCCCTGCCATATCACTTGAAGCTTCATTCAAACAATGCAGTAGAATAAAATTAAAAATACGTAAGTGGACATTGTGTTTTACTGGACATGTAAGTAAGTGAACATTTTGGCAATGGACATACAAATAACTCCTAATGAAATGGATATTTATACTAATGAACATTCCCAAAAATGGTCATTTTTCAAAGGACATTTTGCTGTGAACCAATTGTCTGATAATTGTTACTTGTGTGCCATTAATACTTAAAATCCAACAAGAAGTTTAGAAAGCTACTTGTTATAACTATTAATTGTTGCTTACAATTTTTTCTTATGTATTTTTTGTGCAAATGATCATGTCACAATATTGAACAATATAGGTATGTATTTTAGGATGCATCAATGATTTTCACCCGAGAAGAATACTACTTCAGAGGCACTCATGGTGATGGTGAAAAAGTTTTTGTTAATGTGCTTTGGAATCTCTGATAAACATTATTTATATGTATCTTGCATGGAGCTTTTTATTAAAACATAAGCTAATAATACATGCTAGGTCTACTGGAGCTGTGATAATAAGTGCTTGTTCTAAAACATGACATTTAATTACCAAAGATGCTAGTGTCAATTGCTTTTTTATAACAACACATTGTTTTTTTTAAATATGAAAGTGATGACCCACACTGTACTAACAACTTAGTTCCTCTAAATGTTTGTAATTGTCTTCCAGTAGAGTAAATATTAATAATATCTGTATATTTTCTCTTAAAAGAATATTTTGATAATTGTATTAGACTAGAAGCATAGTTTATTTTACTACCAATGTGCCGCGTTAAAATTTTCGGCAAACTCAATTACAGTTTTGGATATTAATGCTTTCCCAAAAGGAAATAGAAATCAAGACTATTGGTAAACATTCCTTCATTCTATGTGTTTGTTGGTAGCTAGACATATTTTTATAGATAGATTATACATTTTGTAACAAATATTTCTACTTAAAAATATTCTATTTTTTGCAGTACTTCTGAGATATATGTATATACTATTTATATTATTACATGTTAACTATGTGTGATAAAGAGTTAAAAAAAAATTGATGGTGCTTCAATTATTTGTTAGAATTAAGTGCACTTGTCATTTATTGTTCTTTTTTATGTGATTTGTAAGGGCTAAGAAGTGGATTAAAATTGAGATGTGATTTTATTTGGAAAAGTGATACTAATCCCCTTTGATCTTTATATCAATATCTCTTTATAAATTCAAAATTATAGAAATATTGATCTTAATTTGGGATTTTCATCACATATAGAAAAAGGGTTACATCACTAAAGAAATTCAACGCTACATTATGTGATTCAAAGATGGCTCCAGGAGGAGGTGGGACGAAGATCACCATCTTTAGAATTTATAACATTAAAAATTGTATTCAGAAAAGTTTTAAATAAATATGCTTCAAATTTATACATAGGTATTAAATATATAAATATACAGAAATAATTTATTTCAGTGCTTCTAAATATCTAACATGCAATACTTATGATGTTGAATACTCAGATTTTTGTGAGACTTTTACCAGCTGATAGTGCATAATTGCAGCATTTCATCTTCTTCATTTCAGTGTCAATTTTACACCCACATTTTCAAAAGATTATAAACACATTGATACTAAGAAATTTTAAAATGTTATAATTATAACATAAAATTAATTTGCTTTCAAATTATATGCAGAGAAAGGTGGCTCAGTGCATCAACTGATGTGCCTCTGACCGGGAGGTTCTACGATTTGAGTTCGTCTGTGGCAGGATTTTTGATACCAATTTGTTAGCTGGGCCGTGTTCAGCCACTGAGTAGAGGAGAATTCAAGCGGCCGGCTGCTCGGATCGGTAGTTTTCAATGGTTTCTCAACATCGAATGCCGGGGCAGTACCCTAGCAGCAAATGGTCACGCGCGATCTTTACCTTCTTTTCCTTGTCCTAACCCCTTACTTACACACACTGACAAGCACTACACTTCCACACTTGTTGGGGAACCAGTTACGGGCTTAGAAGTTGTCCGGCTGGAGAGATGCCACGCTGTTAGTAGATACCTGGTGGAGGGAAATCTTCGCAAGCTGACGTAGGTCGGCGCCAGATCTCTCCATCCAGTGGGGGAAGATCACCACTACCGCCCGCGACAACACGCACTAATAACATTATAGCCGTTGCCGCCCGAAATCACAAATAAACGAGAATGAATTTTTTTAACACTCAAAAGCACTTCAAAGTTAGGCACAAGGGAATTGACAGCTGAACTTTATGTACTTTTTGATGCGGACAAAAAAATCTATTTCATGAAAAATTCAATTGTACTTATGGTAAATGTTCATTCAAATACAAGTTTATGTCGGCGTTGAACTTCTTCCCTTCCTGGCCTTGGTGAAACACGCAGAAAACCCCTCTGTGGCACCTCCCCGCATTAGCATCGCGCTAGAGACTAGGTGCATTTAAAAGAACGCTGTGAAAACCTGTCTCTCGTCCTTAACAAAATAAAATAGGCCAACCACGGTTGGAGCATTTGCGGTGATTTGAAAGTTATCTCCGCGTTTCTTGGTCAACGAGGCGAGTATAAGTACCCATGTTTCATTGTGAGTGGGACAGCCATGGTAAGACGCAACTTGGATCAGAAAAGAATAGCCGAAAAGACTAAATCTTGATTCAGGCACCATGAGTGTGATCTAGAACTGCTTAGCTGAACAAAAAAATTCTTACCTCCGCCTCAATATAAAATTAGATATAATGAAGCAATTTGTGAAGGCTGTTCTAAAAGATAGTCATTATTCCAAGTACCTGTGCAAAACGTTTCCGGGTTTATTCGAAGCCAAATTGAAAGAGGGAATATTTTGTTGGTCCAGATATCCGCAAGTTTATGAAGGTGTGAAGGATCAAGAATCTGAAACTAGGATAATATCAAAAGAAAAATAAACTTGGATTATCTTCAAAGATGTCCGTAAAGTAACGGGTAATTACGAGAATCCTCACTATAAAGCAATTGTATATACAAGTATACTGGATAAATTCCATGCGTTGTGTTGCTGCACGAGTGTCAAAACACATTTCCTTCACTCACGTGTGGTCTTTCTCCTAAACAAATTTAGTGAGTGAAGAATAGGGTAAAAGATCCAACCAAGCCTTGAAAGCTATAGAGCGCAAATATCAAGGAAGATGGGGCAAAAGCATGCCCGCCAACACTGCTGGATATTAATAGGCCTGCTAAGTTTAACATTTGTTTCCAAGTTTCATGTACACATACTCCTCTTGGTCAATCATCGAGCCTCTAGTAGTGCATATGTAAAAACATATCACGTTCGATTTGGTATCCAGTGCCCATCTACTGAGAAATCTATTTTCGAATTTTTGGCGACGAGACCCTGCTGCCAACGACCTAGTTGAACCAAGGGCGCGCTCCTCGTTCGAATTTGCCCCGATCTTCGGCCTTCCCTTCTCCCGCTCGTGCCCGCCCAGAGGTCGACGATTCAATCCTGAACATTTTTGCTCACAACTCGTGTTCTAATAGGCAAAAGTACAAAAAGAATTTGGTGCGTTTTCGAATAAGTACAATCTGCTGGTAAAATCACATAAAAATTCAAGTGTCCGACATCGTGTCTCCTGCAAGATGATTAACTTCAACACATAAGCAGTGAATTTTGAAGTCTTTACAAGATCTCGATGATCTATACAGTTCCAACGCATGAATTATATGTGTACACAAAGAGAGTGTTTCCGATCTCAGAAAAATAGGCAAACGCAGAAGAAGCTATGCCTGGAGGCTTGCAAGACAATTTTTAAACATAGCTTTACAAAATAGAAAATGCTTATCCTTAATTATATTCAATCCCTGATTTTCTCCTTTTTACTTTCTCGCACTTACGGACGTAAGAAGATCTTTTATCAACATCAGATACTTTCTCGCATTATTTCTAAATTTGCAATTTTCTAAAAAAAGAGAGTTCAACGAAAATGAGACCCTTATCATTCTTTTAAGCGTCCCTTCTTACATCCGTAGAAAAAATGAAGCTGTTTTGGGGAATGCTTTCTAAAGAAATTTGATCAAATTCAGACACAAAATAGACTAAATGTGCTAATTAAAAAAAGGACATAGCCTTTTTCACAGAGCTGATTTTTTGCAACAGACTGTGTAAGGGGGAATATCTTTATCTTCAATTTTCTAGTTTTGGAATATTAACGTTTTTGTAATTTTCGAAAAAAAAAAACCTGAGAAACTGGGGCTAGCCGCATCTTTTTTATCGTTCCTTGATATACATGAGGAGAAAATTTAAAGAAAACTTTTGTACTGGTTTTTAAGAAAAACAAACTGCCTATATTTTGCGCAAAATTACACGAAAACAACTCTTATTTTCTAAAAATTGAATATTGACTCTATTTCAAGATGCCTTCAAAGAACACATTTCATCAAAACAAATCTCTATCTTCAACATTATAGTTGTAGGAAGATGCCCCAAAACACTGCACTTTGCAATTTTTGAAAAATCTGGGATTTCAACGAAAATGGGACTTGCATTATTCTCAAAATCATTCTCACAAAGTTCAATCAAACATCCTTTACGCTATTCGAGGACAAAGTGTAATCACATTTGTAATGATTTTTGATAAAAATTTCGAGTTCGTTTTAATCGATCGGGAATATCAAATTTGGAGAAACCGTCTGAACGGTGCTGGTACTAGCGTTGACCACAGACGTTTTGCCGTCAATCCATTATCGGTATCAGGGATCCATAAAACATGGATTTTGGCTACTCCAAGTGTTAGAAGATTTTTTTCTATACTTAGCAACATGATTTATCATATTTTTCGCTACGAGACTCCGGGAATAACGTTTTTATTTTGCCAAAAATTCGCTATTTCAGGAGCACGAATACATAACTTTTTCTTCTTACAAAGTTAGTTCGAGAAATTTAAATGTATTTTAATCACCACTAGTTTTTGACAATATGTGAAATTATTATGTCGTTGGAGAAGAGGTTCAACAAGTCATGTAGAAACAGCATATTTATGACCTGGTCCTAAATTCTTTCCCATCATCCGAATTCATTGGAGTTATTGTAGTATCTCGAAGAACAGATGAAAATGTCAAGTTACATATAATATAACCACACATTTCCAAAACAGTTCGAAGTAATCGAGCGCAAGGGCAGAGCAGGACCCCCACTGCGAGGTATTTAAGTGTGGGGGAGGGCTTTTAGGGCCATCAGCGTGAATACTTTACGGAAGCAAAATGTAATCATTAGAACCCGAAAGTCCAGGCGATTATTTTACCTAAAATAAGCAGGCAAAGAGTAAAAAAATTATTATAATAATAAAAAGACATTTTGCCAAACTTCTGGGCTCTAGTAATCATTTATTTGAAAGGAAACATTATGAATTATGTAGAATAAGAGGTATGCTGTATCCTATTGTTAAGAGTGCGAAATAGTTAATGTCATTTTTTGGAGAACAACATTTATTGTCAATTTTATGAAAACAGTGAGGTGAAATTTGCGTCGCCGTTATAAGCCATTGCAGCGTTGGATTTTAATAATGCACTGAATTGTGTCACAAATAATAAACTCTTGACACTAGGCGAAACATTCTACGTCCACTTTCAACCACTAGTCTGAGCTCGCGATTCAGCGAAGCTTGTAGCAAGCTGGCGTCTTTGTAGAATTTGATCTCCTTGAAATCATAACGTCTTTGCCTGCCCATTTGTCTGGCTGGCTTGGTCAGTGCTGAGCTCTGGCGGCGCTGGAAAGTACTGTAGTTTAAATGTAGAATGTGATTTTGCGAGGCTCTTCCTCTTCAATCAGTGGCCCGAGGTTTGGAGAAGAATGAAATTACCTCCAGAGCATCTAACTGATAAATGCCCGAGATTAGACTGAATTTGTAAGGCGGGTTTTTAATTCTGCCTTAGAGGTTAAGCGCCAATATTTAAAAAGATGCGAATGGAAAACATGGTAACAAATTTTAAGAAAAAAATTGTAGTCGTTTTAGAGAAAATCGTGTTAACTTAATTTGAAAATTGACACGATTTTACATACCAGTAAGCAAAACTACTTATTTTAAAAAAAGTACTTTACATCAATTAAAGATTAATTTCGGTCGGACAGACAGTCGCTCAGATGGACGGACAGGCGGACGGACAGATGGTCCGACGGACGGACGGATAGACAAACAGACAGACGGGCAGACGGACGGACGGACAGAGAGAGACGGACGGATGGGCGGACATACAGACAAAAGACGGACGGACGGTCAGACAAGTAGGCAAGCGGGCACGCGAACGGACGGACGGGCGGACGGACGGGCGGACGGACGGGCGGACGGACGGGCGGACGGACGGGCGGACGGACGGGCGGACGGACGGGCGGACGGACGGGCGGACGGACGGGCGGACGGACGGGCGGACGGACGGGCGGACGGACGGGCGGGCGGACGAACGGGCGGACGGACGGGCGA